AAATATATACACAAACACACCACACACACCCACACGCATACGCACACAAGACTGAACATCAGCCTTGGAGACCGAGGTGAAAGGAAAGGCAATCAAAGGCTTTTTGTTTTTAGTTGAGTTGCACAAATTTATCTTAAATTAATTCCCCATCCATAATTGCCTCTGAAGCACTCAGGGTCATGTGACCAGCAACTGCTTTTGTAAGTAGGGAACCCTCCATTCTTGGCAGAGTTTGAGCAGAATATCAGCTGTTACCTACCAGATGTGATTTTAAGAGTAGAGCTGAGCCAGGTGTGGTGGCTTACGCCTTAACTCCCAGTATTCGGAGGCAGAGGCGGGCAGATCTCTGTGAGATCGAGACCAGCCTGGTCTACATAGTGAGTTCCAGGTCAATTGCGGCTACAGGGAGACCCTGTGTCAAAAAAAAAAAAAAAAAAAAAAAAAAAAAAAAAAAAGGCTGTATCTGGGTGTGCACACCTGTGATCGCAGCACCAAGTAATCTGGTACGGGGATTGTAAATTTGGTGTCTTCAGTGCTTAGGAGCACACTTGTGTATGACTGGGTAATCATCCCTGGCCATGTCTGCTTTCTGGGAATTTAAGTGTCACTTACAAATACTCAGGCAAGCCAGACTGTCTGCACATAGGCCTGACTATCTGCAGATTAACTCACTGACGGTTCCCAGGTAGGAAAGAGGTTTGGTTTAAGAAATGAGGCAATTTAGATATTAATAATAGTTATGTTGAAAAACAACAAGTTTCTAAACAGAACTAAGCTTTTGTTTGGGGATTTTTTTTTTTTTTTTTTTTTGAGAGGGTCTCCTTAGTCCCAGCTTACCTGGAAATCACTATGTGGACCAGGCTGGCCTAGATCTCACAGAGATCTGCCTGCCTCTGCCTCCCAAGGTCTGGGATTAAAGGCACGAGCCACCACACACAGAGGGGTTATTTTTTAATTCTCCTTTTTTCAAGCTGTTTCTAATGGGCTACCTCTTAAGAAAGGCTCCTGTAGTTACTTCAGGGTTCCTGGAAGTCCTATTTCTTTGTAACTTGATAGCATTCTAGCTTATCTAAGGGATAACTTAACCTGTTTCTGTCCTTGCACACCCAGACCTACACCGGGGATATAACATGTGCTCAACAGATACTTGTAAAATGAGAGAGATGCAAACATCAAGTAGGCATGTTGGCCATTTCTGTGTGCTGGTGATTTAGCGTGTCCCTGGGCAGTAACTTTGCCATCTGGACAACCCATGCATTCCCCAGTGCATCCTCGTCACAGTCTCTACAATGGGTAATTGTTTGGGTCTACATGTCCACTGTAAGTTTGTGAAATAAAGTCTTAGTCCAGAGCATGATGGGAGGTGGTGGAGCCTTTAAAAGATGGGGCCTAGAGGGAGGCTTTTAAGTCATTGAATGATATGCTTGAAAGGGTTAATAGGACGCCAGCCCTTTTCCCCTTTTCTTTCATTTGATGCCATGAAGTGAGGTACAGTTCTACCACATGCTCCTGTCATGACCTTACCACAGGCCCAGAGCAGTGGGGCCAATTGATTAGGAACCGAGGCCTTCCAAACCGTGAGTCAAAATAAACCTTTTTGCTTGATAAATAGATTATCTCAGACATGTGTTACAGTTACTGGAAGCTGATGGACACTTGACGATTATCCCATTTCACAGATGACTCTTTGAAGCTGATCACTGGCAGAACCAGAATTTAAAGTCAGGCTGGTCTGACTGACTCCCAAGTCAAAGCTCTCAGGGAATTAATGGAATCTCAGCACCCTGCTCAGGATACACAGTGTGTGTGGTGTGTGTGTGGCGTTGCCGATGTGTTGTCATACAGGCACATGTGTGCACAGATGTTACTCCTGCATGCACATGTGGAGATCGGAGGTTGACATCAGGTGACTTCCTCCATCATTCCCTACCTTATCTTTCTGAGACCAGATCTCTCACTGAACCCGGACTGGCCAGCGAGTCCCAGATTACAGGCCACACCCAGCTTTTATGTGGGTACTAGGGACCCAAACTCAAGTCCTCATGCTTTCATAGTGAGCTTTACCGACTGGGCCGTCTCCCCAGCCCCCCGGCTGTCTTTCTTTCACTGCTGTACGTGGTGGGTTGAGCAGATGAAAACGTCAATGAATACGTGAAGAGAGGACAGCAGGCCTGAGCCCCGGCGGGGTGTCCACAGCCCACCTCCGCAGCTGTATCTGCTACTGGCTCAGGCCTTAAACTCTGCGGCCTCCCCTCCCCCAACCCTAAATTACTCCCAGGCCCTCTGTTCCACAGTTGTTCAGTAAATCCCTTGATTTGAAATGACGATCACAGGTTGGAGTGCTTAAAATAATTTTGCCAAATGTTCCATCTCTCTACGCTGATGAATACAATGGATGAAAAATTTCAAGTGGAAAAAAAATTAAGAATTCACTCTGTTAGGAAAAAAATATTTCGGGTTACATGCATAGCGTTGGTTTGCACCTAAGGGTTCTTTCCCCCGGAAGCTGGCTGAATGCTGACCTGTAGTGGGCAGGCCAGAGAGGGGGCTGTTTAGAGGTAAAACTTGTTGCTGATTCAGGGAGCAAAGGTCAGGGGTGCGTTGGGTTTGTTTAAGCGTGAGTCAGAGGAGTGGAGGGGCGACCCTGGGTCTCCAATTTCCAATTTCCTGTGCAAGCCACTGAACACACGACTCCCCTTTCCAGCAGTCTTTTATGTGTGCCGCTCTGTGGAACAAAGGCAGATACTGTATGAGGCCACACATAAATAACCCAGATAGGCCACTGTTTCCTTCTCTAAGGGAGACATCTGTGGAATCCGGAATCTGGAAAAATCCAAACTCTAAGGAGGCAGGGGAGAAGGCAAACACTGTCTGGCACCTTGGTCATCTGAGGCCCTTAGGAGTTCTTGCCTGACTTGTTATCCCTAGGCAGCCCCCAGCCTACCTGCGTAGTCAGGCTCTAGCTATTTCTTCAGGACAGCCCTGCCAGTGGACGGTGGCATGGGGGACAGACCATAAGTCAGAATGAGGCTTCTCCATCTCTCCAGATCCTCCTCCAGCAAGCTGGCTCTGTGAAGGACCTGTGAGGCTTTCTCTAGTCACAGGGCCTGGAGAAGGCAGTAAAGATGAACAATCTGGAGAGAGGGTGATCCTCTACCTAAACACAACCCCCACCCCCAGAAACAAGGAGGCACTAGGTCAGGCAGGCCCCAGGGTTAGTTAGCTCAACCTCCAATAGGATCCGGGAACTACTGAGACACTTGTCCACAGGGTCACCTTAGACAGACACCGTTCTCTGCAGATCTGCCCTTCTGCACAGCAAATCCAGCCCTCTGAGAAGAGCGGTAATGGGTCTCTACCCGTCTGGCATTATGCTGTCCTTCAAGATCTGTCATAAGTGACCTCTTGCGGTCATGCTGAATAGTACTAAGCTGGTCATTTGAGCTTGGGGGTGGCTCTGTGCACCCCTCAGATGATCTCAGATGAAACGGTCCCTGTTACCTCCTCAGGCGGCCTCACCCAGAACCTCTAAGCCTTTGAGTACAGTGAGTGTGGGGACAGCAGTCTCTGGGGCTAAGTGAGTCCAACACTCCCTGCTTCCCAAGCAGAGATTGTCCCTGGCCCTTTCTGGGCCTCTGCTTCCTCATTTGTCAGGCATAGCTTTGTCCACCTCACCAGTTGATTGTAAGGAGGGGACTCACCTGCCCCATGGGTTAGCAGGAGTCATAGAGAAAATGGTTCTGAAAGAGGCAGCAGAGCAGGACAGGGCAGCAGTGGTCAGGACAGAAGAGGGGCAGGTCAGGGTGGGAGGGGAGGGTGGCTTTTCAAGCACGAGTCCACCAGTTCTGATCACAACTTTACCTCCAGCGCTGTCTGCTGTAGGTCTACTGACCTGTTTCCCTCTTCCTGGGCCAGGTGACCAAGGCAGACTCTACTCCAGACCCCACCCCCTTCCCTCTTCCTTTCTCTCACTGGACTGACAGATGCAGGAACCCTTGAGCACCTGTCTCCTCCAGTCAGTCCTGCTGGAAACAGAAAACAACTTAGCTTCCTTTGCCTCTGAGCCACGCTGTATCTTTTCCACCCAGACTCAACCAGTGTGCCCTCTGGGGGAGGGGGGGCAGCAGGGCCAGCACCCAGGGAAAGGTGATCTTCTCACTGCCATCGTTTGGAATGACTGGTGCTTGGCAATTAAAAATTTAAAATGCAGCCTGATCTTAAGCCTGGGTCATTATTGTCTTTTAAAGTGTAGGGACAATGTGCCCTCATTGGCAGTACCCAAGGGAGACCCATCCTGTACCCCTGTGTGGCACAGCTCACCCAGGGTGACCCTCCTTACCCTCCTGAATGACCCCCTCTCCTCTCTTTCAATGCCCTAATTTCAAGAGGCAGTTGGTGCCCTTATTCCTGTCTTCATGAGTCACCCCAAGCTGTGACAAGGGTCCTCAGCCACCTTTTTCTTTCCATGTTTTGTTCCTCTTTGCAGGTGACTGCATTTAATGGGGAAGCACTGTCAGAAGAAAGGAAGGGACACCTTGATCACCTGCTTCCGGGACCCACCTCTTCTCCCTGTAAGGTATGAACATTCCCGGAACCAGGCCTGGTAGTGCTGGCCTGTCATTCCAACTACCTCAGGAGCCGAGGCAGGGGCCTGTAAGGCTTGTCTGGTCCACTTAAGAAGACAAGGCCCTGTCTCAAGGTTTAAAAATAAATATATAAATAAATAAAAGAAGTGGGAGCTGGGGATATAGCTCAATGGTAGAGAACATCCTAAATATGTACAAGTCTCTGGGTGTACTCAGTCTCTATTAACACACACACACACACACACACACACACACACACACACACACACACCATTGACTTTTTGTTCTTGTTTTGTTTCTTGGTTTTGTTTTGTTTTGTTTTTGTTGAGACAGGGTCTCCCTGTAGCCCATGCTGACCTAGAACTTGATAGGCAGACCAGGCTGGCCTCTCAGTCTCACAGAGATCTGCCTGCCTCTGCCTCCTAAGTGCTGGGATTAAAGGTATGTAACACCACACCCAGCCGACTCTAGTTCTTGAAGGAAGAATCCATCCTCTCATGTAGAGCCGATATGACAAAAAGAAAAAATGGAACCACATTCTGGACCTTATGCAGGTGAAACGTGTAGAAATTTCTGTAAAGAGAAAGCAGAAACTGTATCTCACACCATTTAGCTTTGTTTTAGTGATAAATGGTCTTGACGGCTTGATATTCCAGTGTTTATGGCTGTCTACTGCATCCCACACTCCCACCGGCCCCTCGCCTCATTGGATCCTACAGAAACCTATAAGCTTGGTGTTTTCTTTTGTTTTTAATCTTCTCTCATCTCATAGCTGAGGAATTGAGGCCAAAGACATAAAAGGGTTCTTGAGGCAGGAAGTAGCAGAGCTGAAACTAAAGCAGGTCTGTGTGAAATCAGGCAAACAGTCAGTTCATCTCAGATCCCCCCAGGGTGTCCACTGTGCCCTGTGCCAGTCCAGATGCCCTTCCTCCAAGGATGTCAAGACACCTCATCGATGGAGAATTACCACCTGCTCCGACAAAAGGGGACCAACCCTTTCAGAAGCAAGCCCGTGTCCAAAGTTGGGGTTAATGATCAAGCTGGAACAACGTAAAGACTCGCCTTCCCGCTCCTCCTTTATCAACGTGTGACTGGGATTTGAGTGCCAAGGCAAACCACTCCAGAGCCACATCCTTAGCAGTGACTTATTAAAGAGTAAATCAAAGTTTGCTCAAAGAGAAAAGTAAATACTCTCTCTCCGAGCCAAGCTGGTCCCCAGCTCACTTCCTGGTTCCACTGTTGACTCAGGCTGAAATCCTAGATAAGTGACTACACTCACCACCCTGGGCCCAAAGGGCAGACCTGGAGAAAGAGCCTGAGACAACGTGGCCCCCTAACACCAGAGCCTGGCAAGGTGCTGACTCTCACAGAGAGGGAAAGCACGGACAAAAGCGAGCAGGCACAGAGCTCCACATGCAGGTAGCGGCTGCCTGTCCTTGTGCCTGTGATTGTGAAGAAGTGGGTCACCTGTTTGTCACATCACCAATAGAGCCCTGCCATCCTTTGGCTCTTTGCTCACCCATAATTAGTGGGATGGAAGAGAGAAGACCTGCACTTTGGGCCTCAGATGGCAGAGAGGAAGAATCAGAGCAAAGTTGACAAGAGTCAACTGTAATCACACAGTGCATATTTTCAAAGAAACAAATAAAAATAGCCAGAAGTGGGTCAGCACTTACAGTGAGGTTAGAGGCAGGAAACTGGGACGGACTTCAAGTGCTGCTCCGGACAGAAGTTGTATTTCACGAACACAGACTCGAGCTACCTCTGCTATCTCACTCCCACTTGCTGCCCTGCCTTTTCCTTTGCTGCTTTCTGGATATACGAGGCCTTAATTCCAATGCTACCTCCTCTTTCTGGAGGCTGAAGACAAAAGATATTTCCAAAGAATTCACCAGAATCCAGGTGTAGTTGCCAGGTGTCTATAGGCCAGAGCTGGAGGGAAGGGAGGAGAATCAGGAGTTCAAAGTCATCCTCGGCTACATAGCATGTTTCTGGTCAGCCTGGGCTACATAAGACCCAGGGAGAGAGGGGAGATGGGAGAGGGGGGAGGGGGAAAGGG